TAGAAGGAAAATATGGCCTTATTTCTTTATTTGAGCATGAGGCCAGCTTACAACAATCCCTTTAATCAAGCTCATAATCCTTTAGTAAAGACATCATGGTGCCATTAATAATGCCAGGCACTTGATATTTGTTCTGGGAATGAGGGGGACCATTGACTTCATCAGTTGTCGTTAATAAAGAAAAGAAGGAATAATGTACTAGTTTATTCTGCCACAAAATAAAACATTTTAGGGAATTTCAGCCTATGGTTGTTTGTGATTGTATTTGTTATTATTAAAAAGGTCCTTTCTTAATATTATCTCTATAACTTTTTGGTATTTTTTAACAGAGGCTCTTTACTCATAACATATAAATCAAACCTATTGTCCATGTAAACAGCAGCCCTGTTAATCAGGGACTCCACTCCTCTTCATACATACTGGAATCACGAGACTCTGCTTTCTTGTAAAACCTTGAGTTTTGTCCGCTCTCTCTTTTTGCCATTTGTGCGACTGTTATCACAAATACTGCGCGCGCGCACACACACACACACACACAGAGACACACGCACACACGTGCAGCTGACCTAGATGAAGGCCTAATCCAGCTAGTTGTAATTCTTTAGGCATCGAGTCGAGCAGGACCGTGAATAGAAACCCACCACGTGTTGAATACGCAGAAAAAAAGGGGGCTTTCTAGTTAGAAATACAGAGTGTGAGGATCACTAACAACTGCGCTTTGGTAGATTCCTCGCTTTAACTATCGCATTATGCGCTCAGACGTGCAGTGTTTCTGAGCTACGTGATCAATCACGACGTGTCGGTGATAATAGTGAATGATGACACCCACGACAGACAGTCTCTGATATGGTGCGCGCAGCATTGATTGCGCATAACCGACAAATGCGCACTTTTTATGCGCCAAAGGCTTCTGTCACTTTTCTTTGAAAGCACTTTTCCCCCCACAGTGACAAAAATAAACTGTTTGATGCGCTTGTTAAATAAACGGTTATTACATTCACCGTTAAACAAAGGTTTTTTTTTTTTTAAAAAAAGGAAATATACATTAATAATTCTATCTTAATATCATTATCATTAGTATGATAACCATTTTTATGTTAAATATTTATTTTTCCTGCTTTCTCACTCAACAGATAATAAATAATAATTCAGGCAGACACACGCCTCTGAAAAAAGAAAAGAAATAAAAAACGTTTAAGTCAGTTTAAAACTTTTTCAAGCACTGGCACTGAGTTATAGCTGTTGGGTCCCCAAACTGTGTCCGCCTGTGTCATTCAGCCCATGACTGTTAACACTGTATCCTCAACCGTCCCGAGTGAATCCCATTTAAAATGTCTCCTGCTCGGCTGGGCTGCAAATCACCCTGTTTACAATCTCACACCAACACTCACATCAATTAACTGGCTATTGATTTTTCCGCCCGGGACATTACAATATTGCAGACCCCTTTTTCCTCTCCTAGCAATTTCAAGTTTCCTGCATATAATTGCACGGGCTTTTTAACTGCACGCGCACATACACATTTTCCCCTACTAATGATAATTTGCTCTTTGATTTTTTTAGTCACAGCTTTAATTTCGATCTGGTCCCCAGGTTTGTGGACAGTTTACGCATCAATTGATACTCCCTCCCCCCAAAAAAAGAAGAAGAAGAAGAAGAAGAGAAGAATGTTCCATTTGAAAATTATGTGTGCTGTTTAATTATTCGACCTAACGCATTGATAAAGCAGATCACTAAGGCCATCAGAGGTATTTGATTTTCCCTCTGCTCTTTCCTTTTTTCATGAATAAGTAAATAGTAAGGCTAGTCGAAACTAAAAGATATCTGACACAAGAGAGGACCAGATCCATCTAGCCTGCAGCTGCTCTTTAAATATTCAGTGAAAAATAATGGCATCCGAGGCATCACCTATAGTAACATTATTATCTTCATTTCTCAAAATCAGCCTGACTGAAAGCTTCGTTTATCTTTTTCAGGTAATAAATCTACTCGACTCAGCGCTCACAAGAAGCTCCTGTGGGATCTCTTGCTCTCTTAAGCATCCCAAGTGAATGCGCACTCCTGTTAATGCATTATTTATAATAATATTAATAATAATAATATTAATAATAATAATAATAATGTAACTTTGTAATCCACAGGCTCGATTAAGACATTGTTTTATTTGCTTTGCCGTTATCAGCTGAAATATATTGGCCAATTGTCATTCTAATAAAAACATTTACCATTATGATAAAATAAAACATATCAACAGGCCAAACATTTAACTTTTGATAAGGACATTATGCAGTAATACATGCCGATTTTACAACATAAACAACCCGGTGGATGGTGAATATATAAAGAAAGGTTTAGGGTTTTTTTTCCCAAATGCATGATGTGAAATATAGATTAGTCCACGTGACATGTATATGAGGCAAGCATTCGTTAAAAAAGTGTTTGGGGAAGAATTTAAAAGCTTAATTTATCCCCATTCAGTTGAACAGACTTCTGTCTCTCCGCTCTTTACCACTGATCATCCCGGCGCGCACAAACCGTTTGGCTCTGCTGTGCTCAATCAGAGAGAAAGAGAGAGAGCGGGAGCGAGGGAGAGGGAGGTGGAGGTGAATGGTAACGTGACTGAATAGCCCGATGACCAATCAGATCCTCGATGGGCCGGGCTCCACATTTGTCCCACTGCCGCACGGGCCCTCAAAGTTTGTTTATTCGCGGAACGCAGTGTGTGATGAAAACGTGTTAGTAAGTAACCCCTCTTTCTGCTAATAATAATCAAATCAAAGTGATTGGGACGTCGGATCACACTCTGGACTTTTGGGAACGCGTAACGGTGCCATTTACGCACGGAACATGCTGGCGAGACGTTGCGTTTTACCGCACCGGGAGCTTCGCTTCAAACTCTTCAGAAAGTAGGTGTCGGTGTGCACACAACAAGAGCTGAATTACAGCGATCTTAACGCAAGAGTGGAGAACGGACTACCGAGTTGTAGTGAAATTAAAGTTGGTTGGAGATCGTGAAGGTTTGAGTTGCGAGCGTCCCGTCAATCCACATCAACAGGGGAAAAGGAAAAAAGAAAGAAAATAAACTGTGATCACTGCAAAAGACTGAAAGATACTGTCGCGGGCATGGACTCGAGACGCTGACATTCCCCTGTAGTAGTCAAGATAAGCCTTGACTTGGCTAACAGAAGGGGTTAAACCGTATCTAAAGGGAGTTTGGAAAACCCAGCCTTTCTTCCTCATACGGATCAACTCATTGGGTGGGAGCTGAGAGAGAGACAAGAGTCCCCAGCAAATCAGGAGCTAATTGATTAAAGAGACTTCATTTGAATAGGAGGGGGGCTGGCAAGGTGCCAATCGCCTTTCAAAGAAGCCCCCGTATGATTAATCGCAGAGCATTATTGATAATCATAACGGGGCACATGCGCGGTGGATGTTCTCGATTTACGTAATTTTTTAGAAGGTTTTGTAGTCATTTTTTTATTCTTTGCCTGCTGATGTGCCAGCCAGCATGTCGCGGAGGAAGCAAGCGAAGCCTCAACACTTCCAATCCGACCCTCATCTGCCTTTATCGGAGCACAATGGTGAGTCCAAGTAACCCAACGCTCCTTTTATGCAACCACCGTGAATTTTTCTTTCTTTTAAGCGATGTTTTTATTTTGTCCGCGGTCAACTCTCACTGTTAAGGAAGACTTTGAATTGGAGTTTATGCTGTTTTTTTTTTGTTGATTTCTTTACAAATTCAAGTGACTTCTTGATGAAAGTATGTTCGACTTTTAACAAAAGTTGATGCACCGATTTTCCACGAATTTCCCATTATTCAAGTACCAAGAACAATTTGGGGTAACTTGACATTTCTGCGCTGATTATTTCATTATCAGGGGTTAAAACTCGGTTCTAGGCGGTTAATAAGTTAAATATAAGAACGCAGATATGGTGCGTTTTCTTTGGGTTTGAGCTCGGTGTGACTTAAAAGTTTCAAAAGTTTTTAGTCTTAACTTTAGCGCGTTTAAAATAAATAAATAATCGCTCCGCTCGCACGCAGGCTTCCCTGCGTTCAGCGGTCGGCGTCTTGCCTCGACATCGACCACCCTGTCGTCCCTGTCGGGACTCCCAACTTTTCTTTGGTACCGGACCCACAAATACCGTATTCCGTGTGCTTCAACGTTGCGCTGCAAACTCGTACAGATATTTCCTTCTTTTATGAAAATATATCAACAGTCTACGCCATGGCTTGTTACTCTTTTTTTTAAGTAAGATGAAAGGAGGACAGAGTGCGCCGGAGAACGTTAATGAACAAACATCTTTCCCAGTCTCTTTAGTTTACCCGTCTTTAGGCAATTTTTTTTCTTATAAAAAAGAAGAAGAAGAAGAAAACAAATATTTGGGAAACTGAAGTTTTGTCTCGGCCATTCTGTCTCCACAAATACACAACCGATTAGTCTAAAAGATAGTTTCATGTCCATATAGATTTCCTAATTTTAACTTGCGGACTTGTAGCCAATGCGACCATCTTACACCTTTGAAAAAACTGCAGTAAGAATGCTTTGTTAGAAATGTGGTGCCTAAAATGTGAAATGAGTTTGTACAAAGTGGCATTCAGGACTTTGCATGAGCTCTCAGAGTTTCAGAGGCCAACATAAGCCAGTAAAGTTATAATTAATTGCAAGCTGCTTTGTTTTTGTAGAAAAGGGGAATATTCGAGCCAAACAAGACACTAATAAAACTGCGTTTCAGATCACTGTAGAATAGTTATAAATAAAGCTTTCATTTCGCTACAGGACGTTGCAGCGTGTATTTTTGTTGACCGACTTTTCAGTCATGCGTTCATTAGGAGGAAAAAAAATATCCATTAATATTTTAAGTAATTTCATAAATGTTCATAAATGGAAAGAAGCCCCGACTTTGTTATTCCGCGCAGTGTGATCGAATTTTGCCGCACAAAATTTATACTTTCTGCAATTTAAAAATAAATACATCTTTTGATTTAAAATTTTAGAAAAATGGCCTGCAGATTTCATGCGAGCAAATAAAAATTTCTATGCAGCACACTGTGTTTAGCACAACCTGAAAAGCATGTGCATTTAAAATAAATATTCCTTTCGGGAGAAAGTCACGCATTGAAACGCTGTTTCACGTGATTTTAGGAACTTGATGATTAATGCAAAACCTAGTCTATCCCTGAGTGCTGTTTCTTTCCCCTAAATTTCCTTTAAATCTAATAAAGGGGAGTGAGGGAAAGTCACTTGTTTCAACAACCCATCTGCAGAATGCAAAAATTCCTAATTATGTCTAGGCCATATGCTAAAATAGTTGCAAGTGTCTTGTGTATGTAATTATAAGAGTATGACCATGTTGTCTTTAAGTTTTGGATTATTTAGCTGAAGCAGTGCTCATTATAAATGAGTTGTGTGTCTTTCTAGAGTGTTCTGGTAGCAGAAAGGGAAACAGAAAGTCATTGTATTTGTAGCTGAATATCAGTGATGCTCAGGGCTGTAGTTACTGGGAGGTCGGAGTGAGAGCCACAGAGGGTGGGATGTTGAGCTGTTTTAACCTTTGCCAGCGTCCCTCTGTTTGGAGGTGATCAGAGTTCAGGGCTCACTGTGTTCCTCTCTGCCTTGCCATTGACCCTGCTGATGAGAGCTGCAGGCGGCCCAGCAAGGCCTCAGCTTTTTTATTTAAGAGTGTGTTTGACTGTGGGGCCTTATCAATGTTGTGACCATCCCCTTATGCCCTATCAGAGTGGCCCCCCTAGAGGAGAGATTGGCAGGGCAGCCCCCTTTTGCGCTGTTTCTCCCTGCAAACACAGAGTGCCTCGCTTGTCATTTTGCCATTGTTTATGTGGTGTGAGTTTAGGTGTAGCCTGAAGGACTTGCTTTGCCTTTTTCCCTCCCCTTAAGCTTTAACCATGTCACCGGGGCAGAGCTTCTGAGATTTGAATCTTGTCCTGGACCACGGCAGCTTTAGTGGAACCCCATCTAGTGTTCAGTGGGATGAGTCCTGAGGGCTGGAGAAGATGTGAGCAGAAACCCTCCTGAAGTTACAAGTGTCAAGACGCTCACAGAGGCCCCCTGCGAAAAAATAATGTAGGATCTCTCAAAGCTCTCCAACTTTTTTGACTAATCCTTACTTTCTTGTCTCTCATATTCAGATTTTTGGTCAATCTCTTTGAGGCTCCGTCCTCTTGCTGTCTGCCTTAACGCCCTTTAGCTCTGCTCACTACTTACATTGTGCTATTGATAGACATTCTATCGAAGTTTACAGTCTTTCTTCATACCAGCTTGACTTTATCTTAATTGTAATTTGAAGTTAATCCTTGCTATTTTAGGAATTAAGCCTAATGCTAGCATCTGCGCTGTTTGCTCCTAGTCTTATGTGGACAGTGGATTTGTAGTGATGCATTAATTCAGTTTTGATCCTTTTTCGGTCATCAAGTAAAGACATATTTTGGCAGTGTAAAAAGTCATATGCAGTTGGTGGTGAAATGATTCTTACACTGTACAGCCGTAAAGGCATTTTTACCATTGGCTTTCCTTAAACTTGTGATAGAGTTCGGAAGACGACAATGTCCCTTGCTGCATTGCAATTTGATGACGAGTCTTAGCAGTTCCTTAGTTAGCGTATAGAAATGTACATTTTGGGGGAAAGCTCATCTATCTTTGCTGTCTTTTTTAGTGTAATTTTATATTCTAGCAATAGTTATATTTTATCCTTGCATTTGTTTTATTGTGCCATTTGTTTGATAAACTTAAATAATTTGAAAGTGCACACTTTTTGAAAATGCACTGTACAAAAAATAATGTTTTAGTATTTGTTAGGATTTATTCAATTAAAGAAACACACTTATTATGTTTGTGAATTAAATAGTGAATTAATTAAATTCCACTGTAGAGCTTTTTCTCTGCTGTGTGTAGATTTGCACACACAGACACACACACAGTGAAAACTCAGGTATTTTATTTTTTGTGAATAACTCTGCATCTTCCAAAAGTCAGGCAAAAGTTGTTTTTTTTTCTATATTCTTCTATTTTCATCCCGCTCATTGTCATATGATTTGATTTTCTTCACACTAATTTGTGTACAGTGAACCTTGAGAAAAGAGAAAAGGTGTTTATTTAATCCTCACATTTCTCACACTATGAATCAAACACATTTTTTCAAAATTAACGCTTGGGGTGTAGGTAGACGGGTGGGTGGAAGTGGGGGGTGGGGGGGATTTAACATGAAAAGTTATCATTAAAGTTGAGTCTTCCCTGTTTGCATGGTTTGGTGGTGTGAGGGCCGGGGTTTACTGTCATGGCAACTTTGCGTTATCTGATGTCTCTGAGCGGAGAAACATTGAGGGAGATAATCCCTGAATTAAACAGGATCTGCTTTGAGTCGACTGAGATGAGCAGGGCCAGGCTGTGCCGACGATCCCCGCCGCTCCCATGCTGTGTGAACAATGGGAAGGCATCCTGTCTCTCTGTGGGGCAGGGCTGCACTTCTCTGGGTTTCATTTGCAAATGAATTCTTGGCCCTGATGAAAGTGTTGAGGGGCCAGAGGCACAATGAAAGGGATTCATAGAGAAATGCAATTTGTAAATCAACTTGTATGCTAAATAGCGAGATTTTAGTGTGACAAAGAGGGAAATGAATAAGGAAAGTCTGGAGCACAGCAGTGGCTCTGGGGGCAGGGTGTCGTCTTGCCTTTTCATTCCCTGACTCGTCCTGTTTATTAAAATGGAAAATTTCAAAACCTGTTTCACTGCGCATTTGGAATGTGGTCGTTACTTTAGAATTTTTGTCTAAGTAACAAGAGAAGTTTCTGTTATGCTTGTTCTATGAACTGGTGTGTCTCCTTTCTTAGTTTTGGCAAGTTTGCGTTCTCATATGCCACACTGCTCTTTAGCGTTGACCAAGTATTTATTTATTTATTTATTTAATCCCTTTCAGGCATTTTTTTTTCCTTAAATGAATTCACCGATAACTGTCCTTTCTTAGATTTAACTTTTGGGTTTATTGGACAATACTTAAACGAAAGTCTTAAGAATAATAAATATTTTTATTCTTGTAATAGATGGCAGATTTGTTTCATGTTTTTTGGTTATCAACTGAGTAACTGTTTACCTTAAACTTCTTTCTTGAATTTCTTCCTCTTTGTTTTTGCTTTCTTGTGTATATGCAGTAGATGTGGTGCCACGGGCTCTGTTGTTCTTGTCTCACTGTGATTGCAGGCTGAGTGGATACAAATTAGTTTAGTGACATAGATAACCTGTCCAAGATGCCTGTAGTTGGCTGAAAATGAGCAAAGTTGACAGCAAATTGAAAGTCTAATAAGTCCTTCAAATGCTTGATTTGCACCGAGTGGACAAGTAGACTTTGAAGGGCATGGAATATAGGAAATCAATGCTTTTCTATGAAATTTCATTAAGACCCAATGATCCTGACTTCACTCTATTCTATATTTTGATGGATTATCTAGAGAAAATGATTACCTTTGGTTGGCCTGATGAAACCCAGATGTACATCTTCAAAGATCACTTTTAACCAATATTTGAGTAGTTCCCATTGATTTTGTATCCCCTCTTATCATGTTTCAGAGGCCACTACATTGAATAAGGCCTTTTCTCATTTCTGCCAGCTTACTGTTGCCTTTCAATCTTTTTTTTCGTGAACACATCAGAAGAATAAGTGTTAAAACTGATTAACTTAAGATTAACAACAATTGAATTCAAGAAGATAAATCTGCTTCTTCAGCTGCAAAACATTTCTAATCGCTAATCCTCTGTTTCCTCTTTTTCAGGGGACACAGAACTTTGCTCCGAGGACCCCCCCTGCAAGGAGTCAGACGCCCATGTCTGTAGCAGATGTTGTGCTGAGTTCTTTGAACTATCAGATCTTGAGGAACACCAGAAGAATTGCACTAAGAATCAGTTAGTTCTGATAGTGAATGAAAATCCTGCCTCCCCTGTCGGAACTTTCTCGCCTGGGTCTCCTCCTCATAATCCCGATGACCAGATGAATGACACAGCTAATAACACTGATCAAACAGAGGGCAGTGAACTTTTGGAGCCTAACACTCTTGAAAAAGACGAATCCATGGACGTGGACGTTTCCGGAATGAGCAGTGGTCACGAAGAGGACGGCAGTCATACAGAGAGCGGAAGCCCTATTAATACAGTCAGCAGCCATGCTGATAGAGGCACTTCTGGCCCCGCAGTAGGTACTTCAGCTATCTCTGCCTCACTACCTCAGCTCAGTAACCTAACTGAACTGGGGAACTTCTCCATGATCAACAGCAATGTCATAATTGAAAATCTGCAGAGCACCAAAGTGGCTGTGGCCCAATTCTCCCAAGAAGCCCGTTCGACTGGAGGACCAAGGGTGGCCGTGCCAGCACTAATGGAGCAGCTCTTAGCCCTGCAACAGCAACAGATCCACCAGCTGCAGCTTATTGAACAGATTCGCCATCAGATACTGCTACTAGCCTCCCAGTCACCAGAAATACAGGTACCTCCAACTTCTGCTCCCGGCACAATGGGGCCAGCTGCCAGCCCCTTGACCACACTCAGCTCACATCTCTCTCAACAGCTGGCGGCAGCCGCAGGCCTAGCACAGAACCTGGCCAGCCAGTCGGCCAGTATTAGCAGCATAAAGCAGCTGGCTGCAGCAGCACAGCTACCTCAGTCCAACCCAAGCAGCAGTGAGACATCTCAGAGCATTACCACACTGGGGCCATCAACAATCAATCCCCAATCCTCTGACAAAAGGCCCACTCATATGAGTAGCCTTCATTCTCAACTAAGCAGCTCCTCACTAGCAAAGTCGTCGACGCCAGCATTTGGAATAGGTAGCTTGTTAAGCTCGGCCGTGAATCCCCTTCTACCTCAACCCCCACCTGGAAATCCCATTTTCTCCAGTTCTCTTCCCAGTGTTGGCACCACTGTAGAGGACCTCAACTCTTTAGCAGCTTTGGCCCAGCAGAGAAAAGACAAGCCGCCAAATGTCAGTTCATTTGAGCATAAGAGCAGCTCTGATGATGCTTTCTTCAAACATAAGTGCAGGTTTTGTGGCAAGGTGTTTGGGAGCGACAGTGCCTTGCAAATTCACCTGCGCTCACATACTGGTGAGAGACCCTACAAGTGTAATATCTGTGGCAACCGGTTCTCCACTCGTGGTAACCTGAAGGTGCATTTTCAGCGTCATAAAGAAAAATACCCTCATATCCAGATGAACCCTTACCCTGTTCCTGAGCATTTAGACAACATACCAACAAGCACTGGCATTCCATACGGCATGTCTATACCACCTGAGAAACCTGTGACCAGCTGGCTTGACAGTAAACCAGTTTTGCCTACTCTGACATCATCAGTCGGCATGCTGCTACCACCAACCATGCCAAGCCTGCCACATTTCATCAAAAAGGAAGATCATTCAATAGCCATAACTAGTCCTTCTGTTACTGCAAAGAGTGACTCAGGTGCCACTGAGCCTTCAGCTAAAAGTAATGATGGTGTATCTGAAGAGGGTGAAGGTGCAACACTGCCTACCTCAAATGGAAAAACTGACGAAGGCAGCAAGACTTCGGGTCTCATGACAAATGTGAGTTGTGCATCAGAAAGCATTGCAGAGTATACGACTTCTACCAGCCCACCCATGATGACCAACCCACTCATGCCCCTTATGTCTGATCAGTTCAAGGCTAAGTTCCCTTTTGTAGGCATTCTGGATCCTCTCCAGGGATCGGAGACATCCAAGTTACAACAACTTGTGGAGAACATTGATAGAAAGGTGAAAGACCCAAATGAATGTGTCATTTGCCACCGGGTGCTGAGCTGCCAAAGTGCACTGAAAATGCACTATCGCACTCACACTGGGGAACGGCCCTTCAAGTGTAAAATCTGTGGCAGGGCATTTACCACCAAGGGAAATCTTAAAACCCACTACAGTGTTCATAGGGCCATGCCTCCTCTTAGAGTTCAACACTCCTGTCCCATTTGTCAGAAGAAGTTCACAAATGCTGTCGTTCTGCAGCAACATATCCGTATGCATATGGGTGGGCAGATCCCCAACACCCCTCTGCCAGAGAGTTATCCAGAGTCCATGGCTTCTGATACTGGTTCATTTGAAGAGAGAAACTTTGATGATCTTGACAACTTTTCTGATGACAACACTGAAGGAATGGAAGAGGGTCCAGACAGCAGTGTGCCAGATACACCCAGATCTGCTGATGCTTCCCATGACAGTCTATGTAACTCCCCAGCTCCCCCTGAAATGGCTATCCAGGAAGGGCAAGAGAGGAATGGCCAAGAATATCATAATGAAATGCAGGAACATAATGTGATCCAGATGAAGGCTATTGCAAATGGCTTAATTGAAGGTGACTGTCTCACCAATGACTCCTCATCTCTGGGAGGTGATGTTGAAAGCCAAAGCGCCGGGAGTCCAGCGGTGTCAGAATCTACCTCCTCCATGCAGGCGCCATCACCCACTAGCATGCAGCCACAACCACACAAATCCCCGAGCCTCGAAGAAAGGCACCAAAGGGCCTTATCTTCAGACCCCACCAGTATAAGCCTCTTGCACTCACATCCCTCCAACCTTGGAGCCCTGGACCTGACATCTGTCAATTCACCAAAAGACCCTTTGGGCATGATTTTCCCCTTCCGTGAGCGTAGCACCATCAAGAATACATCCTGTGACATCTGTGGGAAGACCTTTGCTTGTCAGAGTGCCTTGGACATTCACTATCGAAGCCATACCAAAGAAAGACCATTTATTTGCACGGCATGTAACAGGGGTTTCTCCACCAAGGGCAATCTCAAGCAGCATATGCTAACACATCAAATGCGAGACCTGCCCTCACAGCTATTTGAGCCATCAAATACCAGCCTGTCCTCCAGCCCAACTCCTTCTCTTCTATCTGTCGGTTCTCTAAGCAAACCAGAAGTCAATGGTTTCCTTCATAACCTTCATCCGGAAAACAAGGAGGTACCCCCTGGCTTGGTCACATCATCTGCCTCAACATCCCCAGTGCTTTCCACTGCTCCACCACGCAGGACTCCCAAGCAACACTTCTGCAATACCTGCGCAAAGTGTTTCTCCTCCGCCAGTGCTCTGCAGATCCACGAGAGAACCCACACAGGGGAGAAACCCTTTGCCTGCAGCATCTGCGGCCGAGCTTTTACCACCAAAGGAAACCTCAAGGTAAATGTCGAAACACCCAGCAAACTATTGGCCTCCTAAAAGTATGTGCGTGAGAATGTTCATGAAAAACGAGTCTCAGGGTTACTATTTAATTTTATATGGCATGTCAGTGCACTAGGCATCAAGATGTGGTAATGTGGTATAATTAATGAAAGGAACTGCTCTTAGAGAAAAAAAATGGAAAAGCTGAATCATGCATGTAATATAATTATTGGAGAGAAATTCCAGCATGTGATCAGCTAAGAATGATCCAGTGCACACAATTAATTATCAGGTATAATCACTGTGAGCTAAGTCGGTCTGTATTTTTCCATAACGGATTCTGTAAAAAATGTCACAGGCTTAAATCATCAAGAAAAAGATCTGCTTAGTGATCTTTAGGATTTTGGGGGATTATGTGGCCTTAATTTACAATTATGTTAGTTATTTTTGAATGTCTCAATCTCCAATTCCTAGTGGAGAAATAAGGGCATATGTTTTTTTCTTGTTTGTTTGTTAAAGATTTACTGAATCAAGCTCAGGCTGTTGGATGATACTAGACTTACAGCGATATCTCACAGTGGTATGGTTTATTTAAAAAAGGCTCGTTAACTTTGTGTAAACTATTGTATATGAGCCATATTAAAATACAATTATTTTGGAGCAGTGTTTCAAAAATGTCCAAGCAGAATGTTGTCTTGTTCTTAGAAAGGGTATGGGCAGAGGTGAAATGTCACATGTAATACTGGCTGGGGCAATGAAACTGGACAGTGCAATTTTTGCTTCAGCCGTGCGGTCCCCTTGTGAGATGAGCAAATTAAAGTTCAGATTAAACAGCATGTATCAGTCTTGCCAAAAGATGTTTACACAGTGTTTGTACTTCTCATAGCATAGGCAGCTAACTGATCTGCTGCACTCAGGGTGTGAAGCTATTTTAATTCACACTCAAGCATTATTATTATTTTTTTCCATTGCATCATCTCATGTGCAGCTCTTGTGGCCAACTTTGTAAACATCACTAGTTTTCATCCCGCTCATTGCTCTGTCTCTCACCACCTCTCTTTTGTTCTTCTCCCTCTCCGTCTGTGTAGGTTCACATGGGCACCCACATGTGGAACAGCGCTCCTGCCAGACGTGGCCGCAGGCTCTCCGTAGATGGCCCGATGGCCTTCCTTGGCACCAACCCAGTCAAGTTTCCCGAGATCTTCCAGAAGGACATGGCATCAAGGGCAAGCAACGGAGACCCGACCAGTTTCTGGAATCAGTATGCTGCGGCCTTCTCCAATGGTCTCGCAATGAAGACAAATGAAATTTCTGTCATCCAGAACGGAGGCATCCCACCCATGTCAGGTGGTGTCGGAAATGGGGGCAGCTCTCCCATAGGTGGCCTGACAGGCAGCCTAGATAAGCTACACAACACGGAGCCCAATGCTGCTCTGGCTGGTCTGGAGAAAATGGCCAACACAGAGAATGGGGCCCACTTCCGGTTCACACGCTTCATGGAGGACAATAAAGAAATTGCCACCAATTAGTATATGTCCTCAACTGGGCACAGACACATAAAGATGCCTAAAGGCATACTGTACACATATGTAGACACAGACAGAGGAAGAGAACAAGACAGGGATAAAATCAGCTGAACTGCTTTGCTCGCCATTGAATCTTTACGAACATGAGTGTGAAGACAAGTTGCTTTTTTTGTACAATGTACATGTTATAGTTTTAAGGAGCTTATTTATTAGTGATTATAACCTTGCTTGAAACCAAGTGGAAGCATTAACAATTAGGTTTTGTTTATTTTAAAGCCACAATGGGTGCTTTAAAAATGTGCTTTTGAAACTTAGAATATCTGGTTAGATAACCTTACCTTGGCATTAAGTTATTTTCTGTCTGTAGTAGCTATAATTGAACTGTCTATGTTCATGTGATGCATTAGCCCTGTAATAAGCGAACAGACTTGCTGTAAATAATGTACACTGATCTTCTGTAGATGGTCTAACATCTGTGTGTTCATGAATCCCCCCCACCCCGCCTCATCAAGACAAAACAATGAAATTCAGGCAAGGGACTAAATGATGTTGTAGTTCCTTTCTTTCCGATTATTATTTACCTTTATCTTATTTAAGGAAGACAAAACATTGAAGTTTGCTACATTTCAAGGGTTTATTTAGTGTTAATTTGTTTTCTTGTTACAGTCTCTGTGTATTGTACTTTCTACTTTTTTTGTTTACTTCCATTTTTTTTCTTCTATCTTCTGTTGCTCATATTTTGGTGTTGTTGAGAGCAAGATGGTTACAAATAGAGGAACATTCAGTCTGGCCTGTTTCCTGGTTTTTGGAACTGAGACAGCTAATCAAATTGGAAGGATCACTTTTAGTATCTGAGCTGGATTTCCACATTGCTGCTATGTCCCAGCATCCTCACTGACATCAAGTGCAAAGTTATGTGTTGAAGCTTCTGTAAATATGTTCAGATGTGGAAATACAAGCTCCCTTGCAAGAAAATGTACATAAAGCTCTCACAAGAAGTCCATCACGGCCAGGGGACAAAATGATAGTGTTTTTATAAGTATAAATATATATCGGGTTTGACAACCTTCGGACTGTTACATGCACTTTCTTGGAAAGTTGGAAGATCTTTATGGGTCCAGTTTCTCTACACTTTAATACCTACTAACAACTAAGATACTGTAATTCTTTACTCTAATAATCAAATACATCAGTTTTCCAAAAGAAACATTGTGTGTTTGTGTGCTTTTATTTCCTCATTTTAAAAATACCGTCTCTTTACATTTACTAACAAACTATACATAAGAAAAAAAGCAGAAATAAAAAAGAAATTAAATAAGTAACTTTTGTTTCTTTTAAAGAATTTGTGATCACGTGCAGCCTCCACACTTCCAGTTACCGTGCACAAACTACAGAAACGGAGGCTTGGGTGCTGATGGTGTGAGTTTTCCTGCTCTTTAATTTAAAATGAACACTGTTTGAACATCGTAGTTTCTGTCGCCAGTTCTCCAGATCTCCAATTAATGACTGTTCCACAGAATCGGATAAATTCAAAGCGTATCCGTGGAAAGGAAAAGGCCCCCTCCTGCAATTTATTTACAAAGGGTTTTTTAAAAAAAAAAAAGAAAAGAAAAGAAAAGAAAGAAAGAAGCGCGTCGCAGCGGGTAAACGGATGGGGTGTCCGGAGCAGATAGTTAAGCAGGAGGTGTCCGATGCGCAGTTGGCGTTATTTTTCTTCTTCTTCGTCGTCTTCAGTTGAAAATAGAACTTGTATTAAGAAAGCGACGATCTAGTTAGTGCTTTCCAAAGGAGGTTGTCAAGACGATCGCTCGGTTATCCGGATACAGTTGACGACTTTAAAGGCGTTTGCGTTGCATTTTTTATTCAAAGTGAAAAATGTTCCCCTTTTGTATTTCAACAGCTGCATTTAATTTAACACATCGTTGCACATCCTGCAATGCAGGATCTGTTAATTTCTGTCCAGCATCCTCGGCGCGCTCCCCTCCTCTTTACAAAGCCGAAATCCCCAATATTTACGTTTTAGATTTCGAGACGTTGAAGCTAAATGATCCTTGCCCACAGTGCCTGTTTTCTTTTTAACAGTCACATCTGTTCCCCTGAGCTCTGTTTGTGCAGTAAATCGGCTTCCTGAGAGATTCCTTCAAAGAACAAAAAGAAAAATAAAACATTCCCACATTCTTGCTTAATTATGACAAATTCTTCGTTTGCATGTACTATTTTAAATATGGTGTATTTCTACTTAGGAAAATTATCATTATTATTATTATTACATTCTAAATGATAATCTAATTGATTTCATAAACAAATTAATTTCCAAATGATAACATTATAAATACTAAAATATGTGCTGCAAAATTAAATCATAAAATTATAAATATTTGAATAATAAAATAATGGAAACAAAATAAATAAATAAATAAATAAAGGCCTGATGAGTCATTTGGCTTATTTTTCATGCAGACTGCTCACAGCTGGGGAGCACAAATATACAGGAGTAAATACATGTTTTATCTCTGTGTGAGTCATCCCACCACTAAGCATGGACTGTGCTCTTGGTTCTCAGCTCCTTGCTTAAGTATCGATTGAGCTGTGCAGTATTACAGAAACACTTGAATCTCAGGTGGCAGGAATGAGTACAATTGATCTCTTCCACTGTGGCTCCCAGCAGTGGCTTTTTGCTCCACAACACACCGCACCACAGGGAGAGCCAGGCGAACACACTGAAACACAATCGCTAAAGACTAAGATGGGCTGTCCCAGTCTGCCCTGCTCACTGTCACAATTTACTGTGAGTCTAGTCAACTGCTCTGCCGCTACATTGAGACTTTGCTTTCAGGCTACTGAGAACATATACACAATATTATGCTGTAAACACACATTCTACAGCTAGACACAAAGTCATGTACACACACATTTGGATTTATTTTACATCTAATGTTTGTTTTTGTTTTTATTTTAGTTTCACGGTTATTTTTCCTTTTCCTTATTCAAGCTAAATGGCTTGATGACTTTTTGCTGCAGAGTCTGGCAAGGATGGGAACCATCAGGAAAGAAACATTACTCTCTTTAGCTGTAAGCCACTCCTGTCCACTTACTGTACACTTGAAAGTTCATTATAGGGTTGGCTTAAGTAAAGGCTGTGTGCACAGCTGTCACACTGCAAAAATAAACTCTTGTTTTCTGGTTGTGTCAGAAATCTTTTCATGCACACTTGTGTATATTTAACACAGTTGTCATTATGGAAATTATATTTTTACCTGGAAAACATCTTTATTTCATAATACATAAATGTGGATAAAACAGGAAAACATGAAGAGAAAAGAATGACCTCCATGGCTGATGGCAAGTTTTTGTGCATCATCTGATGTATGCGTTCATTGCAAAATGAGTGGTCAGAAAAAATATATATTTTTGACTCGTAATTTGTGGTTGGACTGAAATCTGTTTAATAGCTGTTGTTTCTCTTTCCTGTACCCTCAACCGCCCTTCAGTGTGTAGGTCAGGCTAAGTTGAAGCTGCACATAGGCGATCTTAGGAAGCTGGAGTCCCCACCCGCCCACACCCACTTCCGCTTTGTGCTGTCAGCCCTGCTGAGTCGATACAAACCGTAGCCTGGGGCCCAGCCTGGACTCCCCACTGAGGTTCTGGCCTACGTGAGATCAAAGACCCACTGAGAACAATAGTAAGGCAGCCGCGGTTCACTCTCCCCGGATGCACCTCCACACCTGTCCATGCTGTCACTCAGGTGACTGACCTGCTCAGAGGCCTACTGTCTATAACAACATACCCCTATGTTCACCTACAAATATTGATGTAGAAATTTTAAAAAAGCAAATCCAAATCATTAATAAGTAATACGCCATTGACTGTTTAATGTGCTTCTGTTTGTCTCCCTAATTTCCCAAAAGGGTGTTTTTTCTGTTTCCTGGTATGTTTGTAAATGTCTAATTTGTGTTGTCATTTCCCTCAAGCCATTCCAGGCTGTTTTTATCTTCCTGTGGTTCTCATCATACTTCCTGTGGAAAGTGGAGGCTGTCTGCAGCATGTGCACAGCTGTTTGGAACACCTCCATATTGAAGGTACAAACATGGAACACAACTTTTTAGCTCTGGGTTTTCCATTCTGCCACTGCTTTTTTTTTACACTGCCACTGCTAGCGAAGCAATCAAGATGTTTAAGTAGAAACTTTAATCCGCTGAAGGGCAGCTCTTTTACGTCTGCCCATGTGTAAGTTCTACTCAGGGCTCATGAGGCTTTGGAGTTTTTCTTTGCATGGTTTATTTTTATAGCGCAGAAATCTGGAGACTTTCCAAATGTCAAGGTCATTTATCTTGCAGTTCATCCGCTCCTTGCCTTTTGTGTTGTGAGAAAGAGAGGCACAGGCCCATATTGCATTTCATGACCTATTGTGTCAAAGGAGCGCCCAGACAAACAGGTGGGAGCTCTTTGTGGACCAGCCTCGCCAAATTTGAGGCTCCCTGGCCCTTTCTTTAATAAGACACTCATGCTTGCAGAACGGCCTCAGTACTCCGTTTCCCTCTTCGTCAGATGGGAACCTTCACGGATGCTAATGAACATACAGTAAAGGTTTGTCTCACGCTCAGTGAGCCTGCTATCTGCGTCTCCCAGTTTATCATCACCACTAAAATTGCAAGGCCATTTTACTGGGCTTTTACTACAGGGGAGACATTTAGGGTATTGTGATGCTAATTCCTTAAAATGTGATGTCTAGGTTTGTTCTTTGAGGTCAGGGTAGGTTTATGAGACTGGGTCTTTTGACGAAGTACAAGTACCTTTTTTGTTATCACAGAAAAACCTGCAGTCACGGGTTGTCCTCCCTGCCCCTAAAGGCAAATTTAATTTAATGTACATTTCCATTTTAAGATGAATCACATGTTCGCTTATTTTGTACAGTAGAATAGAGACAGATCGTCTTTCTTTGGGTTTAAAGAACAGCTTTGAGATTAAGTAGGCTGATTGTGGCCCTTTCACCATCAGAATTACGGCTGGTAACCCAAGCCAGGTCTGTCTGCTCTGGGGCTTAAACACACACACAGTAGGGGACACTCTCTGTTAATGTCATCTCAGAGATTCAGTTTCCTCATCACAGTCTTACCTCAAGTCACACAACCTCTGACACATATTCTTATTTTTTTTTTCTCACAGTGTGAAAGCATGCTAGTAAGATGGATATTCTACAAGTTATCGATACTGAGAAGTTGTCAGGATGGGATGTCAGAGAGACTAGGAAGAAGCCCTTCAGCCGCTTGTCAGGTGTGTTTGATTCCATAGGTGCAGTGGAGAGATGTCTTGAGTTTATTGAATTTGTCATTTTTGGCCTGGGAGTGAAAAGGGCACCTGTGTGCTGCCGTAAGCCCCCACGCCTGGGCCACCACCTGCATCACAGATGACAGCTGATGTGCAGGGACAACCCTGAAGCAGTTTTTTTTAAAAGCACTCCATCACTCACTGTGTACATTATTCATCAGCTGAAAAGCTGATAGGATATTTACTTTGTCAATTTTCTCATAAAAGGCTCATTGGGCACAAAAAAGTCACCCAGGGTTACAACGGGAAAGTCAAAACTATTTCGGAGTCAGTTTCAGTGTGCTGCCAGTCTCAAATTGAAGACTTTTTGAGTTGTAAATACTGACCACCCACACCAATGCTAGATCAAAGCAAAGGGCTGCAACGGTGGCTGAATATTAGCGACATTACACAAGTGTGTGATAGGTTCTGTTACTCAATTGCTGGCCATGGGAAAATAAGAAGTTCTGATAGAGATTTTGCTCCATTTTACTGTCATTAAGGGGATCTGGGACTGCTATATAGTGTATCTACTGGGCCAGGAACTGTAAAATGTGTAATCTAACGTAAGATAAGAAATGCATTAGGTCATGGCAATTCCCACAATGTTCTGTTTGATATGGAGATGTGTGTGTGTGTGCGGGAGGGTGGGTAACTCAACTGCACCATTAGACTTAGTTTGACTCCCACTGGGTCTTGCGGTGCTAAAAACGAATCACTCATCAAGTTAAAGCATCCGCTAAATGGAATATGCTATGATTATGTGATTTCAAGCACACAGAAATGTTTGTGTGAGTGTTTTTTATAGCCTGCCTCCCGTGTGGATCTCTTTGCATACACGGCGTCATCATGCTCAGTTAACTCTCTGCCACCTGTGATTAATAAGAAATATCCCAGATC